CTCACTGGAAATCAAAGAAGGCAGAATTATATATAGCTTTTAAAAATGAACATATTCAAAAATTTAAGAAATGATGAATAAGTCCAAACATAAATTAATAAACAATAATTATCATAAAATAGTATTGTGAAAATTATTACAATTTATAACTCATACTTACAAAAATAAATGTATTATCATAAAAATATATTACCAGAGAAATTAAAATTCTAAATATTAGGCAAGTTTTTTCAGTTATAAATAAGATTTAAAAGGTAAACACAGACTATTTGAAACAAATCTATGTTACCTGAAATGCATTGATAATTGCCTAAGATGCGCAACAATTTCTTGAATTGCTTACTGAATGTACCTCAAACACTAACGTTTTTAAAAGCAAGGAAAATATAAGGCAAAAAGAAAATTAGAAAATGCACATGTTGATTAGTTATTTTTCAAACATGTTCAAAGTGGAAAAATATTTTAAGTAACTTTCGTAATGGTCAGGTTATATGGTGAAAACCATCAAAAAAAGAAAAACACCTATTTAGTTAAAAAGTTTGAATAAATGTGAAATGCAATATGTCCTTGAGGCATTAATATTTGCATCAAAATTAAAACCACCAAGTATTTAAAAATTATAATACACCATCTTGTGGTTATTGGAAAGGAATGCAACTTACAATTTTCATATTTTTATAAGGTCTATATATTTCAGCATCATCTTTTCTTTTAGTTTAACCTGCCCTCATTTAAAAATAACACATACTTATAGTACACTTAGTTCTCAAACAACTCAGAAATATAAAACTTTATAGTCATTAACACCAGTGTGATCCTTTAATATCTTACAAAATATATACTATAAAAGACATTATTTTCACCTTTAAATAATAATAATCATTAATTTTATCATCATTATCAGAAGTAAGACTTGAAAGGTAATATATTAGTCAATCATAAATTTTATAAATAAACTTCATTAGATGGCATGTATATCATATTTACCAGTTTATTTAGATAAAGATAGAAATTTTCATTTATTCTTTTAAAAAATACTAGAATATTATGAATTACAGAAAGAAGAAATAAAATGGAGAAAGAAAAAGGGGTAAGAGAAAGTATTTGGGAGCTGGAATTATGAATAATATATACTTGCTTACTTCCAATGTGCAAATATATTTCATTATACACTTGGTTCTCTATAAATAATTATTGAGTAAATGAATAATTTTAAAACTATTTACTTTGGTTTTAAAATCTAAAAATCTCATTAAAGGCACAAGTCATAAGTGCAAATAAACTAAATTTCTATCCACTCACATGCATATTTTACAATAAAATCTAGGAATATTTCACAGCTAATTTTAATAAATTAGCTAAGGTGTTAAACCATATAGCCCAACAAAATTTTTTTCTCAGCAAAAATGAAGAGGAATGGAGCTCAAGAACATAATTTATCACAATAAATACAATGGATCACATCTAATAAACCTATTATTTATTTACTTTATAAGCATATTTCTTTTGAATTATGTGAAAATATACTTCTTTTTATTATTCATGATCAACTTTTCTAAGTTTCTGGAATCAGTTTCATTATTTAATAGGTAAAGAGAGAGAAAAGGAAGGAAGGAGGAAAACAGAGAGAAATATAAAAAAGGAAGAAAAGGTCTTACGCCAACATAAACTGTCTAAGATATGGAGATACAAATCAAACTGACTAGTTCCTTTTCCAAAAGGAATTAAGAGGAAAGAATCTAATAAGGAAAGAGGGACACTCCCCACACACTCAAATCAGCAAATATGAATAAAGTAGTGAGCTGTTTCCCTGATGCCTCAGATGGTAAAGCCTGCCAAGAGGAAGACCCAGCTTTGATCCCTGGGTGAGGAAAATCCCTTGGAGAAGGAAAAGGCAACCCGCTCCAGTATTCTTGCCTAGAGAATTTCATGGACAGAGGAGCCTGGCAGGCTGCAGTCCATGGGGTCACAAAAAAAAAAAAGAGCTCTACAGGACGGAGCGACTACACTTTTTCACTTTCAAGGGAGAAATTTTGTCAAAGGGTTCACAGAGAAAAGAATGGATCTTATTTGGAATGGATAAAACACATTCCCAACTTTCTCAAAGGGGCAGCAAATGTTCTTGGAATGAGGATAGTTTCTGAAGTCAGCTAAGCTTTTTTAAAAAATGAGATGTACAGATAGAGTCATATGGTTTTCTTTTAAATCAGTTCTGTTCAGTCACTCAGTCGTGTCCAAGTCTTTGTGACCCCATGGACTGCAGCACGCCAGGCTTACCTGTCCATCACCAACTCCTAGAGTTTAATCAAACTCATGTCCATCAAATTGGTGATGACTTCTGCATATACGTTAAACAAGCAGCGTGACAACATACAACCTTGACATACTCCTTTCCCAATTTGGAACCAGTCTGTTGTTCCATGTCCTGTTCTAACTGTTGCTTCCTGACCTGCATACAGATTTCTCAGGAGGCAGCTAAGGTGGTCTGCTATTCCCATCTCTTTAAGAATTTTCCACAGTTTGCTGTGATCCACACAGTCAAAGGCTTTGGTGTAGTCAATAAAGCAGAAGTAGATGTTTTTCTGGAACTCTCTTGCTTTTTGATGATCCAACAGATGTTGGCAATTTCATTGGAATAGAAAATAAAAATCTAACACCACCTTGTGGAAATAGTTGTGCCCTGTACACAGATCCATTATACCTATTGATTAGGAAAATTTCTTCGCAAGTTGATACCTAGTCTTGAATGCTTAATCTAAAATGACTAGTAGGAATTTGCCAGGTAGAAAAATGGACAAAGTTTGCTCAGGTAAAATAGGAAGAGTATTTTAAAAAGCTGGCTCACCTTGGAAAATAGAAAGCAATTTAGTGCGGTTACACTACAAGCACAAATTGGGGAGAAGCAAATATAAAACTACAAAGATGAACAGAGAGAGATCCTGAAATGTCTCCTCTGAGAAGCTAGAGAATTTGAACTTCATTACGGAAGCTTTGTGGAGACGTTGACATCGGAGGATGTGACTCATATGCTCACGTCCTATCAAAACAGCTCTTTTTTTCCAATATAATATTTTATCTGCTTCAGCGCAAACAGGTCAATTGATTCCCATTTTCTAATGTTAAAGAAGGTCATAGAAGTCCACAGAAATTAAGAACTGGTTGATATGTGAAAAATTCAACTACACTAGTTATTTATAAGAATAAAGGTGATTCTACAAAAAGTAAATTCCCATGTCCTTTAAGACCACCTTGATGAAAAATAAATAAATAAATAAATAAATACATCTTAATGCTATAAAATAATTGTACCTAGAGACAAGGCCCAGGTAAATCATACAAATAGGATACAAAGAGAAAAGAGCAATAGACTATCATATGCTGTCAAGAGATTAATGTATGTGTTTTATCTTAAACCTGAGCTATAAGTGAAAGAAAACTATTGCATATGGATGATGTGAACTTCTAACTGGACAACCTAAGTTCCTTATGTTACTTTGGGACTCATTTTAAGCATTAGCTAACCAAATATCACATTTGTTGATAACTTATAGTAAATATGAAAATTGAAGATTTAATAACTTTCGTCTTTGATTAGTTCTTAGGATTTGACCCCAAAACTCATTTGACATCATAATAAAATCATAATGTAAAAAGTGTACTTAGACCCAATTTTCAGTCACACCTGTGGCAAAAGATATTTGATTTAGTCAGATGAGCAGATACAACCATTAAATAAATCATATAATTGTCCAAATTTCTCAAACTTTTTAATTTGTTATTTTACTCATAGAATGGTACTATCAGAATAGTCATTTAACACTATTTCAAGGAATCAATTACCTTCCTTAATTAAATTAAGTGAAGTAAATTGAATTTAGTGTATTAATTAAGTGAAGTAAAATGTAGGAATGCTGTATCCAGAATTTTGATTTCAGAAATAACTGTATCATAAATTATTAAATATGAAGGACAATATCATATTTCTACTTTTATATTTATCAATAAATGTTTATAAACCTTTAAAATATTTTAAACAATATATCTCATTCTGATGTAGCATCTAAAAATTAAGATCTAAAAAAGTGATTTTCATTTAAAAACAGAAAAGATGTTTATTTTATACTAAAAGACTAAGTTTATAAGAGGCTTAAAAATTTTAAAGCCGAATTTTATGTTCTGAGTCATACATTTATATTAAAGAGTAGCACGTACTATCAGAAAGAAAGATTTCTCTATAAATATCCATTCTTATATTTATAGAACTAATGGAATTATAGCACTATAAATGTATAATATGAACTATGTTCACAAACTTTTTAAAGAATAGAATGTAAAGATATTTGTACAAAGGTTAAATATATTAAAATCCTAAGGAAAATTGCAATAATCTCAATATTTTGAGGTTTATATATATTCTTCTGAAGACTCCTGTGCAAGACAATAAAAGATGCACTAAGAATAATATTAAGTGGCAAAGAAGAAACCCACAATATTCTCACATATTCATTAATGTAGAATATCCATTAAAATTTCCACAATGTGCTTTGAGATTTTTCAAATAGAAATGTATTGGAGCAAAAATCTTCAAATAAAAATTATATTTACTCTCTAACTTGAAACTATTAATGAGTATTGTATCTTGAAGCACTTAACTGCAGAAAAAATTTTTTCTTCATATAACAGTTTCTGAGTTTTACTTCATTAATTATATTCTTCCAATAAACTAATCACAGTGAACTTCAAGCAGCAAAAGTTTTTCCAATTTCAGACTTTAATAAGAGGGAAAATAGTTGCTGGCTCTGAAACAGTTCAATTAAAAATATTACCTTTAAATTTAAGGCACAAAGCTAATCCTGAGTTCTATGAACCTTTGTATATAACGAGTGACAGAAGATCATTAATAGTCACAGTTCTAAGTATTACCCTTGGTTGGCAAGGTAAAATATAGTTGGCTTTATTATAACAACAATTGTTTTAAGTTGCAAAAAAGTGACATTTACCTTTTCCAATTGAGCGTTTTTTTTGGATTTGTATAAAAACTCTCCCACTGCCACAAAAACAGAGAGCACCAAGCCGGCTGCCAGAACAATGAAGATGCCACCAATATTTTGAACCCCCAGGGCACTGGCCTCCTTGCTGTCCTCCTCCGGACACCCATTGCCCCTCCACCACTTCTCCTTCATCATGTGCAGCTTGCCTTCCTCTTGCAGCTGAAGAATTGCTATGGTGATTTTGTCTCTATATGGAGAACCTAGGAAAAGAGAGGGTTTGTTAACGCTTTCCAGGAAACCAAAATTTCACAATTAAAGGTTAACATGATGAAAGAACAGAGCTCTTTCCAAACGCTGTGAAATATGCCAATATTTATTGTCAGCAGGAAAAATCAACTAGAAATGGCATAAAATACAAGTTTAACAAAATAAATAGAGGTGGCGGCCTTTCTGATTTTGAAGGTTAAAATACATTTTGTTTTGAAAGAGGAAAATATCTCTTCTAAATTCAGGCTCTACTTAGAGAATTGGGAAAATAAAAAATGGTAACTAGAAATCTACAAAAAGAAATGCAGAGAGGGCAAGGATATTTAGTTAATGGCTAGGAATCGTTCAACACTGAAAGAGAACATTGACAAAATGGAAACCTCGGTTTTTAGGAAAGTTGTGCAAAAAATGGTGTTTCCCATGATTAAGTTGCAATAATTTGAAGCAGTTATGATTAACAAGTTCTGTTCAGTTCAGTTCAGTCACTCAGTCATGTCTGATTCTTTGCGACTGCATAGACTGCAGCATGCCAGGCTTCCCTGTTCATCACCAACTCCTGGAGCTTGCTCAAACTCACGTCCATCAATTTGGTCTGTCATCAGTCAACCATCTCATCCTCTTTAGTCCCCCTCTCCTCCTGCCTTCAATCTTTCCCAGCATCAGGGTCTTTCCCAATGAGTCAGTTCTTCACATAAGGTGGCCAAAGTACTGAAGCTTCAGCTTTAGCACCAGTCCTTCAGGGTTGATGTCCTTTAGGATTGACTGGTTTGATTTCCTGCCTGTCCAAGGGACTCTCAAGAGTCCTCTCAAAAGCATCAATTCTTCAGCGCTCAGCTTTCTTTATAGTCCAGCTCTCACATCCACATTAGACTACTGAAAAACCATAGCTTTGACAATATGGACCTTTGTTGGTAAAGTAATGTCTCTGCTTTTTAATATTCTGTCTAGGTTGGTCATAACTTTTCTTCCTAGGAGTACAGTCTTTTAATTTCAAGGCTGCAGTGACCATCTGCAGTGATATGGTGTGATCACTTACCAAGAACCAGATATCCTGGAATGTGAAGTCAAGTGGGTCTTAGGAAGCATCACTATGAACAAAGCTAATGGAGGTGATGGAATTCCAGTTGAGCTATCAAATCCTTAAAGGTGATGCTGTGAAAGTGCTGCACTCAATATGCCAGCAAATTTGGAAAACTCAGCAGTGGCCACAGGACTGGGAAAGGTCAGTTTTCCTTCCAAACCCAAAGAAAGGCAATGCCAAAGAATGCTGAAACTACTGCACAATTGCACTTATCTCACACACTAGTAAAGTAATGCTCAAAATTCTCCAAGTCACGCTTCAGCAATATGTGAACTCTGAAGTTCCAAAGCTATTTTTTTCCCCACTAATCACATATGGATGTGATAGTGGGACTATAAAGAAAGCTGAGCACCAAAGAATTGATGCTTTTGAACTGTGGTGTTGGAGAAGACTCTTGAGAGTCCCTTGGACTGCCAGGAGATCAAACCAGTCAATCCTAAAGGAAGTCCTGAATAGTCATTGAAAGGACTGATGCTGAAGATGAAGTTCCAGTACTTTGGTTGCCTTATGCAAAGAATTGACTTACTGGAGCAGTCCCTGATGCTGGGAAAGATTGAAGGCAGGAGGAGAAGTGGATGACAGAGGATGAGATGGTTGGATGGCATCACTGACTCAATGGACATGAGTTTGGGTAAACTCCAGGAGTTGGGGATGGACAGGGAGGCCTGGTATGCTGCAGTCCATGGGGTCGCAAAGAGTCGGACATGACTGAGCGACTGAACTGAACTGAACTGATGGGACCAGATGCCATGATCTTCATTTTTTGAATGTTGAGTTTTAAGCCAGCTTTTTCACTTGCATGAAGAGGCTCCTCAGTTCCTCTTTGCTTTCTGCCATAATTGTGGTGTCATCTGCATATATGGGGTTATTGATATTTCTTCCTGTAATCTTTTTTCCAGCCTGTGCTTCACCCAGTCTAGCATTTTGCATGATGTACTCTGCATATAATATAAGTTAAATAAGCAAGTTGACAATATACAACTTTGATGTACTCCTTTCCCAAAATGGAACCAGTCCATTGCTCTAGGTTCGAGTCTAACTATTTCTTCTTGACCTGCATGCAAATTTCTCAGGAGGTGTGTAAACTGGTCTAGTATTCCCATCTCTTGAAGTATTTCCCACAGTTTGTTGTGATCTACACAGTCAAAGACTAGCATAGTCAATGAAAGAGAAGTAGATTTGGGGGGGAATGCTTTTGCTTTTTCTATGATCCAACACATGTTGGCATCTTGATCACTGGTTCCTCTGTCTTTTCTAAATCCAGTCTGAACACCCAGAATTTCTCAGTTCGTGTACTGTTGAAACCTAATTTGGAGAATTATGAGTGTTACTTTGCTAGTGTGTGAGATGAGTGCCATTGTGTGGTAGTTTAAACATTCTTTGGCACTGGAATGTAAACTGACCTTTTCCAGTTCTGTGGCCACTGCTGAGTTGTCCAAATTTCCTGACATATTGAGTGCAGCACTTTGACAGCAATATCTTTTGTGATTTGAAATAGCTCAGCTGGAAGGAATGGCAAATACTTTGCAGATAATAATGGTTTATATTTGTTATTTGAGATGAATACCAGAAGTAACAGATTGTACAGACTTGGATCATTCAAAAATCATCATGGTGACACGCTCTAAGATTTTTTGTTGTTGTTTATTTATCATTTTACACTTTGGAAAGAAATATTATTTTTGCTGTAAGCAACAGTATAAATGAAATTTAGTATAGATGCTAATTTTAGTAGATGTTCATCTGCATTAGTGTTATATGGTAAGTAATAACTTTTCTAACTGGCTGCCCCAAAGCATGGAATAATACTGAACTATATGCATCTTTCAACATCTGTCCCAAAGGATCAGTCTTATTGCTTTCTCTCATCCAGAAAATAGTCTGTTATTAGAGTTTAATCATTCCTAAACTCTAATCTTTCCTAAACACTGCACATTACAGTTTTCTGCACAAATTCATCCATAAGTGTTTTTTCTGCTTGTAGAAATATACTGATTTCAGCTTGTATCCCATGGTGTCTGGGATTTTGTCTTGATTTAAATATTCCTGCATCTACACCTAGAGATTATTTTTGCTAAGAGCAATTAAAAACCTGATCTAGAAACTATTTTGCCCCATAAGGAACAACACTATATGTCTTCTTTTTACTTGATTAGTATAACAGGACTAATTCAGCACTGCTTTTTTAGCAAGAACAGGAAAGTTAAAAAACAGACATACAAGGAAAATCATGAAAAGTTAGTACCTTATTGAAAAGTCAGAGTGAAGATACATCAAGTCCAGGTAGAAAGCTGTTTCCTTAATGTAATCCTCAATTTATGTAGAAGAAATGTTTAAGTACATGCCTTCTAAACATCTTTTTTACTGTCTTCCTAAAACATGCATTATCCATTCCTATAATTAGGACTAAGTTTTTTTTTTTAACTGTGCAAAATCTAATTATGGTAGGATAATTTCTGCTCCTTAGTTTCCTTCCTCTGTCCTCTTCCAAATAATACTCTGATAAAGATGCTCAGTTTAAATTCTTCCCCTTAGCCCTTCAGATTTCAGTGGATTAGCCTAGTCCATACTATTTGCTACTTTGATCATTTACTGGAGACTCAGCTTAGGTCATTAAGTATCACTATTATTTATCTTTTAAGATGTGATCTATTTTCCTGAGTAGATTATAAACTCTAACATACTGTAAGTGACAATGGGGTGCTTCAGTCTTCTCTGGCATGTATTTAAGAAATATAAATGAAGGTCATCTTGTTTGGCTATCCAATTTTCATTAATTCATTACATCTAGTCTAGAACCAGCTTTAAAGTCACGTGTACTCTGAATTACCATTCTGATTAATCATGTATGCCTCAGGCCAAATAAACATTGATTGAGAAAAAATCATTGTAGCTTATCAAATATATCCTTCCATTGAAAAAATAGCATCTGAAACAAATTTTGTACTTTTAGTACTTATAGAAATGACTATAGGCGGCTAATAAAAAATATAGCCTGAAAGTACAACTATAAACAAATGTTTGGAGGATACTAACATGAAAAGTAGACTTTGAAATATGGAAAATTCTTGATCCATTTAAGTAATATTTTGAGCCAGGTCATTTTTCATCCTGAGCAATATTGAAAGAGTATTATTTTATTGCCAATTC